ATGTCTGTGCTAAAACGAGAGCACAAAGACCTGTACTGCTGCTGCTCAACACGCTTATACACTTATTTTGGCATCAGGTTTCATTCATGGGGTAAAATAACTCACTTGCAGCATAAAGCCTTTTGAAGGAGTATGCAGTTTGCTCACTGTCTCCTCCTGAGTTGCATCATTATTTCAGTTTCAGAATATTTGTTCGACAAATGGTGAAGTTTTATATAACAAGATGTTCTTTCTAATGTGAAACGTTCTAATTACTATAAATGAGAGTGTGAGAGTGTGTATCCAAAAATTCACACCTGTTCTTTGTTGGTTTTGTCTGTGGTTAGAGAAAGACAGATAATATCAACACCAACGGCTCTACCTTCTGCTTTGTACATCTGGATGAATTTGAAGTGTCTTTGACATAAAACAAAAGTTGCAGCATTAATTGGACATTTTTTTTGCAAGTCATTTGATTCTTATGATGAAAAATAGCTTGAGTCAAGTTTACCACTAAGCCTTACATCCTACCCTAAAATTATACAAAACAATTATTATAAATTACACAGTCATTTACAGTTTTATTATTAATTTTAACAATAATCACCCATTATGTGATAAATGCAATGTTTGCTAGTTTGGCTATGGCAGATCAGTAACTTTGTTTCATAAGTATTTAGCATTATTATTTAACTTTATTTAGTAGTCATGTTATTATTTAGATAAATATATGATAATATTTTAGGATTTTATATATATATATTGTTCATATTTATACTTAATCCCTATTATTACATTGCTACTTGCCACAAAACGTAAAAATTAGACACAAAATATTGTTCTGAGTCATAATGGTTAATTATTTTATCCAAATCAAAGTTGACAGAAACAAAACAGCAAATGGGTCATACACTAACTTGTACATTATTTATTCAGTCGGGTTGCATAACAGGGTCACGGGTTGCGTCTTTGATAAACTATGACAGATCACATTCATTGTAATGTAAGAATTAATAAATCCATGTGAAACTGTCCCTTAAATGGGATGTAATGACTTCAGTTTCGCGTTCAGACTCACTTTGCACTCACACTACAAGCGTACCGCACCCAAGCCCAACCGAACCACACTTCAGACCAACCGGGCCAAGGCCAGCCAACTGAACCACACCTGGGCACAATTCGGAGCACTTGCATTTGTCAAACAAACTGGGAAATAGGGGTCAAACATACCTTCACTGTAAAAAATTGCTGTTAAAAAACGGTCAGATTCTACGGTAAAATAATGTTTTTTCACTAAAACAGTAATATTCTGTTAAAAACAATGCTTTCTGGGTAACATTTTTGTTTTCGAGAAAGTAACCAACTGCAGAAAACTGTGAGCTAACAGAGTTCAGATTCGATGTTTTGAAGTCTGTGTTTGAAATCACACTTTGTGTCCTTGTTCACTATTTCATACACTAGTTAACTAATATAGTTCACCTGACAGTTTTAATGAACACTAATGAGTGAATTCAGACACTGATGAACACCTGCTGTTAATAATTACAATTACTGAAGAAAATAAACAAGAAACACAAACAGTGACTTGAGTTACAACATTAAATAAAATCAAATAAAATAAAACAGCTTCGGTCTCAGCAGAGGATCATTAAACAACTCCACAAACAACAGCAGACACACTTATTACTGACTGATTTGACTTCCATACTATTCACATTGAGATCCAACAGAAATTAAGGTGTTTTTTGTGTCACCGTAATGGAGTGAGGGGCTGGTTTAGTTGGGCTCTTCACCCTTGAACTGATTAATTCAGACTCTCCAATCACTATAATAAAGAGTTAACGAAATGCTTGAATTATAGCAGTCAAGTTGGAAAGTCAATAAATAGAGAAATATATTTGTCTGAAATTAGTTCTGATAAATGTTTTGGTATAAATCTGGAAGAAGGGCCTCATGCAATAGATTTTTTAGTTACAGGTATTAATTAAATTAATGAGAAGTGAAAACAGAAAGATACCTCAGTAATTACTTAACAGTTAAGAAATAACATACAAAAACAGTTCAGTTATGAAAAATACACACTCAGACCTCATGAATCTGACCTTGTATCTCAACAATGGTAACATCTCAAATGTTTCATGCTGCAATGCATGCTGGGAGTGGCACGGTACAAATATCCCAGCATGCATTGCGGTATAAAAAAAATGTTGTATAATGGTCTAAGAGTTTTCTTTACTTGTGTTTGATTCTGCTGTTGTTTATGTTTAGACTTTCAGTTGCCTGTTTGTGAGTTAAACTGTTAATTTTGTTAGTCGTCACCATTATTGAGGTTCATCTGCTGATTATTGATGTCTCTTTGAGTGCGATATACACCATAGAGCAGTGTTATTGTCCAAGATATTCTTAAAAACTTCCAGAAATCGTTGCCATATATATACATAATGTAAAACAATAGATTTAACATTGAATGGGAGCAGTAAATTTTATTATACTAAATGAGAACAGACTCTGCCATTTAATAACAACTTGAACATCACCAGATCTTATTTTTTCAGATTTAGGTTTTTGGCTGGCTTGCCACAACAAAGGAGCTTTTTAAGCAAAGTTCTTAACAATTGCAGCAGCTAAGATATATAAATGTCAGGGCTAAGAGCCCAACTAAAGCAAACTCTGTTCTCCATGATGGTGACGTAAAACTTTAACTTTTTCTCAAGAAGAACTTTAGTAGATGTTATACAAAAATACATGTATTAAGTAATAAGTGTAGCTGGTGATGATGTTTGTAGAGTTGTTTAATTATCCGCTGATCATTTAAATGATTTAATCATTTGTTGTTTTTCAGGTTATTTCATTATAAAGCTGTGACTAAAGTTTTGCATGTTCTGTTCTTGTTTTTTCCCTTCAGTATTTCTTCATTTGTTCATTGTTAATTCTCAATTATCATTTAATTAGTCAGTTAATTAATGAATTTACTTCAGCTTTGCTACATGTTTCTTGAACACTCAGTAGTGTGGACACTTCAATAAAAACTGAAGTATATGCTCTGGGGTTTAAAGGGTTAAAGGTGTGAGAGGTAAAAACACAGTGTAAAAATGTATTTTAACAGTAATATACTGTTAATTTACACAACGGAAGTAGACTGTTAAAAAACAGTATATTGCTGGCAACCACAGCTGCCAGTAGATTACTGTTAAATCAAGGAAAAAACAGTATTTTACTGTAAAACCTGAAGCTAATTTCTTCTGTGTGTCACCGTTGTGGAGGAGAGTAGAGCCAGTGTATGAGTTAAAGATGAACAATGAACTGCTGATGTTATTCTGCATGTTTCTTTATTTAAAAACAACAGCTGTTTAGTTGCTGATGCAGTCAGAATCTCTCTGGTGATTCCAGATTTACATGCATGTGTGCTGTTGTAAAAAATAAGACATTAGAGTTAAACCGAACTTTTTTAATTAACTAAAATAAGTTATCATTATAAGTATGCTTCTAAGCATATATAGCACATTACTTCATAAACTCATTCAGCAGTTGACCAAGTTGAGGCAGTTGCTTTCAGTGAGCAAAATGAGTTCACTTGAGTATTGTGTAAATCAATGTAGTCCATGTATTTTTACAGCAACATACTGTAAAATAACAGTACATTGCTGGCAACTGCAGCTGCCAGTATTTTCCTGTTTTTTAACGGGACAATTTTTAACAGTGTTGGCATGGTTCAGACAGCCTAGCGTACCTTAAAGCATACTAACCTACGTATTATTTATTTACAAGATGGAACCAAACTGTCAAAAAAAGGAAAAAAAAAACGTAGGGTTTACTTCAAATCATGTTGACCATGTGAATTTATTCATACACATACTTTTATGTTTATATTTAAAGCCACTGTTTTTGCAACTGAATAATCCTTACATTAATAAATTCAGCCATTACTGTTTTTGTCAGTTTTAAATTTAAATAAATAGTTAATAAATTATTACTACTCAATTTAATGTTTCAACATAGGCAAATTCTGAAAATGTAGCCCTATATATACATTTCTGATTATCGTGAAATATGTAGCCAGAGCTATGTATGGCTGCATTACATCTTTAAAACGAATGCTACAAGGCAGTATGACATCGTTCCTTTTCCTGACCAGCTAACCGTTTACCTCCGTATAGACGGCTTTGCCCACTTTTACCAGTTTGTCTGGTAGCTCCACATGTAGTTCATTGGTGGATTTGAGACACAGATTGGAGTTGACCGCGATGACGGGGTTCGAGTCTGGTGAAGAACGGTTCCAGAAAAGATCGGTCAGTTGGTGAGTCAGTAAGTCAGTCAGTCAACAGCAGCCTCTGGTGGATTTATGTGAGAACAGCAAGAGCGAATGGCCCTCACGAGAAAAAATTGGGATCTAAAAAAAGCGCACACAGTGGCCTATGGTGGATTCACGAAAACAAAAACTGCAAAAAAAAAAAAAAAAAAAAAAAAACTTAGGTCCTTCTGGATGTATTCTGCTCTCTCCAGCAGTACGTAATCAGAATAAGCCTGGGTTACAATGTTTTGTGTCTTATTGTTTAGTTTTGTGAAAAGTAGCCATCTACAGTGCCATAATGTACATCTAGGTGTTTCTTTTGCATAATAAAGCAAGAATTGCAAGAATAACTATACTTGGAACGTGCATTATAACATTTATTTTATTAATTTTAATTTCAGTAACAACGAGGTTAAGACACAGACAACAACAAATACTGCTACTACTAATAATAGCCTAATAATAATAATAATAATAATAATAATAATAATAATAATAATAATAATAATAATAATAAATCAGGGACAGAGGGGTAGTGAGTGATAATAATAATAATAATAATAATAATAATAATAATAATAATAATAATAATAATAATAATAATCGTTGTTGTCATATAAAAAGGCTACAGTATACAGTACTGTGTAGCTTACTGTTTTTAAAACAAAATGACAAAAGAATCCGCAGTGTTTTGTAGTGTGGCAGCAGTGAGCTGGCGTGTTTACTTCTCGAGCATGACCTGTCTGTTTGTCCGCGTTGATGGCTGGAGGTCAGTCCTGTGTTCTCTGGCTCGTATTGTACGCTGAATGCAGACACTCAGTCTGAGTCTGACAGTGTATGTATATGCCATCCACTGCCGCTGCTGCTGCGAACCAGGAACTGTGGGCAGGACAAGTGAAAGGGAAAATGAAAGCATCGACACAATGATCCAGCTTAAATTCAGGTAAAGACATTAACACGGTTAAAACAGCGGTTAAAATGAACATTGTTATTCACTGACGCTGTTAGTAGATACTTGTTGTTCTATTGCATAGACACCACATCATAGTGTCACAAACGTACAGCTAGCTTGCACTGTAATCTGTATACAGTAGATGTCGATGTACACCGTGAACATTCTCTCTCACATTGCTGAGGTCAACAGAGAGCGCAGCACTACCATGCGTGTTGTTGTCTTTGTTTTAAGTAGAGATGTTGTCATTCTAACATTTGCTAGGATGTTTACAGTGCTTTATATGACACATTTTCATATTCTCAACTAATGTTATGATAAAATGTGTATTTGAACGTTCTAATTTAGCAAACCAGAGGCAGAATTTGTTAAATTAGTGTATAATGTAATGTGTTTACTTTCTAATTTATGTGCTAGTATCAGTCTAGCCTATGGATAATTTATTTTTTTTAGGCTAGGTAGGCTAATTGTTCTGTTATGTGTTATACTACTTTGCCATTAAACTAGTCAATTAGTACAGATTTTAAAGGCATCCACTGGGTAAAACAAATGCAGGTTAAGTTGGTTTATTCTACGGTGGTGACCCCAGATGAATAAATAAATATTGGAATGCAATAAACTCACAGTTTTATTGTTAGTCTCTAGTTCTTGTTAGTAAATACATAAATAAACTATATCTGTACAGCATTTATAATTTATATTTATTGTTAATTTCAACAGTTAGTACCTGCAGGTTAACAAGGACCAGCAATAAACAAATTTATTTTCATTAACTAACAATTCATTTACTTACATCAATGAACAATGAAGAATAAGTACTGTAATAAACATATTGTTTTTGTCAAAAAAAGCATTACTAACATTAACTCATGGAGGCTTATTGTGGAGTTGATGCAGGAAAATATATATATATTCACAGATTCTGGCTAGCCTTATAGTTATTATCTAGTTAAACAAATGAAATGAACACTTTAATTATTTACACATTATGTGATCATCAGCTTCACCTTTGTCTCCACAGGTTACAGTGACAGCCATCCAACCATAAGTATCTAAACCAAACATTGACTACAAATTATTTTTCATGATGCATCTGCTGTTTTTAATCTTGCTGTTTTTGGAGTCACTCTGTTATGTCCAGTCCTCTGAAAGCAACAGTCCAACTGGTGATAACCTAGCCACAGACGGCCTTCCTTTCCCATGGAGTAAAGTGCGTCTGCCAAACTACATAGTGCCAGTACACTATCATCTTCTCATCCATCCCAATCTGACCACACTGAGCTTCACTGGATCCGTCAAGATTGAAATCGATGTGAAAAACAACACAAACTGGGTGGTGCTGCACAGCAAGAACCTGAAGATCTACACCGCCACTGTTTTAGACGAGCATGAAGCCCATCTGTCAGAAAAAACACTGTCTGTTCTTGAGTATCCTCTACACGAGCAGATCGCCATCTTCTCCCCAAAGATCCTCACTTCCGGGGAAAAATATTTCTTGTATCTGGAGTTTGGCGCACCGTTGAGTGATGGCTTCCATGGCTTTTATAAGAGCACATACAGGACCAAATCAGGAGAGACAAGGTACTGTGTGCTTAATGTAGCATTGTAGAAAGCAATAATATGCAAGAAATGCATAAATGAATTGTAAATGAATGCTAAATAATCAATCTGATTTATTTTCCTTCACTAAAGAGTCTTGGCATCCACCCATTTTGAACCCACATCTGCCCGGATGGCGCTGCCGTGTTTTGATGAGCCCGTTTTCAAAGCTAATTACACTGTCAGAATAAGAAGAGGCCCATCACACATTGCTCTGTCGAACATGCCTTTAGTAAGCTTGTTTAGTTTATTTAGCCATCTTCAAGCTCAACTGAATACATTATATTAAAAATGAACAAAATTACCTTTTTTATTAATAATAAAATTAACTGTGAATAATAATAATAATAATAGTAGTAATAATAATAATTGGTAAAAAAATTATTAAATTGCTGAGCATTTTATTATTATTATTATTATTATTAATAATAATAATAATAATTGCATTTCTTTTAATTTATTCAACTGCAGAATTTTTTAATAGTAATAAAATGTGGCAACACTTTTCTTTAAAGTGGTATGCATAAGATTATGTTCATAAGAGGTATTATGCATGTTTTGGGTCTTTTTAAATGCAAAGGTGCCATTGTTTGAGATTGAAATGTCTATAGCTATTTTTCCATCCAAAGATGAAAATTAAATTTATATGCAAAACTGAAACATTCCATAAAAGACGTGCAAATAAAGCAACATTTCCATCTAATGAGTCAAAGAGAACAAAATCATCACTTCTTGATTAACTCCCGGCAAATGTCAGAAGTAAAAACGAGATTTGCTGCAGTAGGAGAAGCTGTGGATCTTCTCTTTAATTAATAAATTATTGGACCTCAGAAGACAATGCCAACTAGAAATGAACACGTGGTGGCATTTGTAGATGTGGGATGCAGAGCACAGATGCTTTTGACAGGTCATGAGGTATTTAATAATATAACAACACTAAACTGAAACGCATAGGCGTTTTAGAATGACCAAAACAATTGTCCAAAAAAAGTTTATCCTACTCAATTATGTTTTTTATGCACATTTTCAAAATAAATGATAATCTTGGCATTTCCATCGACCATTTTTTTATGCCTATATCCTAATTGCACATAAAAATAGGTGGATGGAACATGACATAGCTTTTGTCATGACAATATGACATCAAGACAATGTAACTTGTCATAAATCTGTCATAAACAGGATTGTCATAAAGTCGTTATAATTGTGTTATGAATTTTATAACAGCGTTGTTAAAATTTGTTCTATTGTAGTTATTTTTATAATATTTAATAACAGTGGTACAAATTTAATTAAAATGTCATAAATATTATTAATGCTGTTATAAAATTATGTATTGATTAAGCATGGGATGATATAAGATTCTGACGGTATGATAACCTTGGATAAACATATCATGGTTTCATGGTATTTCTGTATTATGATTACTGCTCTAAAATAAGTTATTCTAAATGTCTGGTGTTTCCCTTTTGAAAACAATATATTTTATTTTGAGAAACATTGAAAATATTTGAAAAACATTTAAAATATAATATTACATTTAAAATATATACTTTTAAACTATATAATAATAATATATTTTGGATTTTAAATGTTTTTAAAACCCAAAATATTTTATTCTTACAGTAAACATGTCAGGCTAAATGAATTATTGACTTCTGCTGTCTTAATTTGTTTCAAAAACAGATATTTTTACAATTTAAAATGACATTTATATATATATTGTCGCTAAACATACTGCTGTCTTAAAAACGAAACAAACAAAAAACATTAAAAAAAGAGACACATACCTTAGGAACAGTGATTTTCCAAACCGTAGTATACCTTGAAAACGGTTATCATCCCATGCCTAGTGTTGACATATTTACTGATAATCTTAGTGGCAAATTTGGCTAATGGCTACAATTATGTTCCACTCAAAAAAGTAATAGGAATGTTCATGACACATAATGGCCACATGACAATAATATTTATGACAGATTTATGACAAGTTACATGTATGTTGTCTAAGTAATGTAAAGTTTTTTTATGATGTTTGTTATATGTCAAGTTGTCATAACAAAGACATCTTAAACAATGTCATATTTCTATTTAAAATTGCATGACTGCATATGCATGCATAGAATTTCATTCATATTCATAACATGCAAGTGGCATATCATGATTATAAAGGTGTCACGAGAGTCTTATGAACACCCCGTCAAGTAAAGTGTTACCAAAAATGTTAATGAAAGCGTATCATGTGAAAAAAATATATTCTATAAATTTTGAACAAATACATACATTTAGTTGAATGTTGAATATGTTCACTATTTTACAGGAACAAACTGTAGAAATCAGCAACGGTCTGTTTGAAGACCACTTTGAAGCGAGTGTGAAAATGAGTTCATACCTGTTGGCTTTCATCATCTGCGACTTCAAATCTGTTAGTGGATTAACTGCGACTGGAATTAATGTAAGTATAACTATAGAGGATTAAACAACATGAAGCAGAAGCATGTGAACCCAAAAACCCTCTTTTGCTTTGTATGAAAAATGCTTCTTGAAAAAAGCTATTTTGTCTTTTCCCAAAGATTTCTATTTACGCAGTTCCAGAGAAATGGCACCAGACACAGTATGCTCTAGAGGCTGCTTTGAGGCTTTTGGAGTTTTATGAACAATATTTCAACATACTTTATCCGCTGCCAAAACTGGGTGAGTGCAGCTAGCGTTTTCCTTACCTTTCCGTCTGATGTTTCCATGCATAAGTTATAGGACGCACCTCTGGGTTTTGCCTTTGTTGTTTATTTCATGATGTATGCCAGATCTGATAGCTATCCCAGATTTCGAGTCAGGCGCGATGGAGAACTGGGGTTTGACAACTTACAGAGAGACGTCACTCCTGTATGATCCTGACATCTCATCGGCCTCCGATAAACTCTGGGTTACAATGGTGATAGGACATGAACTGGCACATCAGGTTACTTTGAAAACATACTCTTAAAAGCCTCATTTGTTATTATCATGCTTGAGCCAGTCCAGTGGTTTATAGTCCAGTAACATTAAAATTGATATCTCTCCAGTGGTTCGGGAACCTGGTGACGATGGATTGGTGGAATGACATATGGCTGAATGAAGGCTTTGCCCGCTATATGGAATCTGTGTCGGTTGAGGCAGTTTATCCAGAGCTTAAAGTTGTATGTCCAACCTTCAAATGTCTTTCTTTATAGAATGCATAAATAACATACTGTGAGGTAAAATAAAACACAAAACTGCCTGCAATGAAAAAAAAAATGATAACCTAAGAAATAACTTGATATCTACGTAAAATATCCAATAAATAAATATGACAATAATTCTAGTATAGATTTTAACAAAGGTCTCATAAGGTCTTTTGTGTATTAGGAGGATCACTTTCTAGACACCTGCTTTGGAGCTATTGGGCGGGATTCTCTAAATTCATCCAGGCCAATTTCCAGTTTAGCTGAGAGTCCAACTCAGATCAAGGAAATGTTTGATACTGTTTCATATGAAAAGGTATGTCTTTATATTATCATTTTTTGAGGTTCTTTATTTTGTTTACACCAACCCTAGGCCATAAAAATTATGTTTTAAATAAAATACAGAATTATCAGCTCTTTTCTTTTAGTGTTTGAAATTTTGGCTTAAGGATATAATCTTTCTTTAAGGGACAAAAGCTGTTTGCAGGCTGCCAATGACATCATAAACTTCCATTTTGCAAATTTACATACATTCGACAAGAAGACTCTAATTAGCGATGGCTCTTTCAGACAGTTCAGAAACCCTTCTTTTAAATTCACATATTACTGTACATTAAAAATATGCAATATTTAGTATACACGAATAATTAGAGGGGTACTTTAAAAGGGCATGATGAAAATCATTGATACGATTTAATAAGTTTAAAACACATTTAGAATATTAGTTTATTACTTCAGTAAATAATTGGAAATAAACAAGAACAAAATCTTAACAATTAATTAGTTTATTCCTCTATGAGGAAAAAAAGTGATAAAGCAAACAAAAGAGAGACATGTGTGCACATTGTATTACGCATTAAATAAACATAAAAAAAGCAAACAGAAATATAATCTAACCAAAAGTTTCAAGGGAAAAGAAACAAGAGTGGCGCCAAAGGAAAGAACTAAACAAAACCAAAACCACCTAAACTACAACACAAGATCCCCTCTAAACTTAATAATGAAAATCAAAATGTGAAAAAGAAACAAAAATCTTCAGCGTATGCGATGCCAAAAACATAAACTCCCTGAAATTGTGAACAAAAATACAAAAAGCGGTGCTCACCCATTTACCTAGTGTTTCTGAACAATTCAAATAACTACGAGCAAAATGTTTGTCTCGCAACTTAGCCCGTCAAATTTAAAGTCCGCGGAATGAAGCCCTATTGGTCCACGAGGAAACGCCCTAATGAGGAGTAACAGGCTCGAGATCCAATCAGCAGGTACCTAAGAGAGAGAAAAATAGCAGAACAAAAGGTGATAGGGCGAGACAAAGAGCCAATGACAGACAAGGAGAAAGAGAGTGAGAGGAGACAAGGAGAAGCAGAAAGGGCGAAAGCACAAAAATCCAAACTCCCACGAACCCTAAAAATCATCTTTTGGAAGCTGATTGGAAAGAACTGTTTGTATAGGTATAGTGATAAGAAAAAAATAAGGCTCTTTTTTTTACTTTTCTGATGTTAAAATAGGATCCAAATCCCTCCCATTTTGAGGCTTACCGCAATGTGATGTAGGAGTGCAGTTTTCCCCGTCCAACGAATAGACAGCCACATATTAACATGCCTATGTAGTAACGATCATAGTCAAGTCAACAAGCCAGGACGTGTGCAAAACAACTGGGATTAAAAGATCTGTTCAGCTCTCTGTGATCATTAATCATCATCAAATGTGAGCAAGAAAGAGTTTTAAAAGTTTAAATTGTTTTTAAAACAGTGAATGTTTGTGATAAAGGCAGTTAAATTGGCACATAATTCATCACCACAGCCGCATGCCAGTACAATTATAAAAGAGGATGCTTCAATTTTGGTTTGTAGACGTTAAATCAGGTTATTTTGTACATTACAAAACGGATATCCATACAGAAGTGGATATTAACCTGCATCCTGTCACATTTGCCGTTTACTTAACTTAAATTTAGAAAAAAGGGGTAAAATAGCTGCCCTTTAAAACATTTTCACATTTGCAGGTGAAGGTGAATGGCATTGCTGAATTATTATTATTGTTTATTTTTCAAAAAAATAATAACTGTTATTTTACACTATTGCTGAATATTTTAGGGAGCATGTATTCTCCATATGCTGAGGCATTTCCTGACAGATGAAGGCTTTCAGAGTGGAATAATTCGATATCTTCGGAGGTTTAGCTACTGCAATGCCAGAAATGAAGATCTGTGGGACAGCCTTATTAAAGTATGACATTTCTTAATGTACTGCATTTTCTTATACCATTATAATTCAGTACTAACAAAACAATAACTCATGCTCTTTTTACGCTGTGTATACAGACCTGTTCTGAGGAGGATTTTGCAGCAGGAGAATACTGTTACAGCAGTGCTCAAGCCACTAAAAATGCGGTAAAGATGCCAAATCATAAATGTTATTTATAAAATTTATTAGATTAGAGTAACATCACAGAATTCTCACTTGAATATCAGTCTTCAGAATGATAACTTTAGGGTCATACCTCACAGTCTGGATAATGTTTACATTGTAGTATCGTTTTGCTGGGGAGCATGTCGACCTGAAGAAAATGATGAATACGTGGACTCTACAAAAGGGCATACCGCTGGTCACGGTGAAGCGGCAGGGAAGGAAACTTCATATAGGACAAGAGCGTTTCTTGAAGATAGTGCTGCCTGATGATCCCTCATGGCATTCGCTTCAGGACGGGTAACTACACTACTTAACACGTGTTTGATTTGGGAGCTTTCAAAGTCTTTTGTTTAACAAGTTTAATATCAGATATAACATCCCCACTAATATTATTTATATATTATTGTCATAGCTACCTGTGGCACATCCCTTTGACATATAAAACAAGCCATTCTGACCATGAAGTCAAGCACATATTGGACAAAAAATCAGGTATGAGATTGATCATATGCATACTGTATATATCGGTCATTGACTTTTTGTTCTGCTCCTTATGTTCCTACTATGTTCAGCTTGACTTAGTTTCCTTTGTTCTGTTTATTATGTAACATAATTATGTATGGTGCTTTTAAAATGCAGGATTTCGACAATTTTTTAAACATTGTCAGGGTAAACGTTTAAACATAAAAACGGTATGATACAGTTGTATGTTACAATTTACATTTTTGCTTTGTGTTTCAAAACCATTTAGCTGAATTTTGTCAATTTTGTTAGTTTAGCCTTTTATCATATTAATATGTTTAATAATGACTTGGGATTTTGAAATTATCTTTTTTATTTTTGCTAAAATTCATGTTAATGAGCTTTAGTTCAGTTTTAGTTTTTAATTATTTACATTTTCATTTCCATTAAGTTCCAACTTACATGTACTTGCAAAGTTACTTATAGCCAGTAAGAATGTTGGGCAACCTTCAAAATAAAGTGTTAGCATGACTGCTAACTGGCTTATTGTTAATAATTTAGTTTCCTTTGTTCTGTTTCCGTCTGAGTATTTAACATAACGTTGTATGTTTTTGTTTTTCAAAATGCAGATTTAGACATTATTTTAAATCACTTTATTTAATTTCATTATCCAACTTGCATGCACTTGCAAAGTTACTTATTATCAGTAGAATTGTTTGTGAACCATCAAAATAAAGTGTTAGCATGACTGCTAGCTGACTTATTGTTACTAATTTAGTTTCCTTGGTTCTGTTTCCATTTGTTTATTTAACATACCGATGTATGTTTTTTTTTTTTCAAAATGCAGATTTAGACATTATTTTAAATTACTTTATTTAATTTCATTATCCTACTTGCATGTACTTGCAAAGTTAGTTATTATCAGTAGAACTGTTGGGGAACCATCAAAATAGTGTTAGCATGACTGCTAGCTGAATTGCCTTGCTTGGTTGGGAGCTGTGCATCATTGGGTTTGCTCTTCATTGTTTAGGCTTTCAGCAGTGAAAATTAAACCACACTGAACTGAACTAAACTGAACCGAACTTCGTCTCTGAAAACTGGACTGACACAATTTCAATATACTAGAACCATGTCAAGCTGCATCGTCACAATCTACATTGTAAAAGCACTATAGCACTATAGAAACACTATACTAACTTACAGTACATTCGCACATACTCTAAAACGCAAGATATTCTAAAACAAAACAAAAAAGTTACTCTAAAACAAAATATACATTTTCTATTTCCAATCTCCCAAACCCAGATGTGTTGCTGCTGGATGAACACGTTGACTGGGTGAAGCTCAACACTGACATGAATGGATATTACATTGTTCATTATGATGAGGAGGGCTGGAATGCACTGACGGAGCTGCTTAAAGTGAACCACACCGCCCTGAGCTTCAAGGACAGAGCCAGTCTCATTCACAATGCCTTCCAGCTTGTCACGTGAGTCTTCTTTCACATGCAAAACAGGAAATTCTATCATAACTAGCAAAAGGGGCATAATTGTATTAACCTGAGCTAATTTTTATTGCTATTTATTTGATATTTCCTGTGTTTTGTTATTTAGTGCGGGACGACTGTCTCTAGACAGAGCTTTAGATCTTATTGCTTACCTGAAGTCTGAGACCCACAACGTTCCTCTCCTGCAAGGCCTTGGCTATCTGCAATCATTTTACAAACTCATTGAGAAGAGAAAGATAGCTGATGTTACTCATAATCTAAAGGTATGACACAAACATTTCCTGGAGCCTAATTGAATTTGCTGTCCTCATTCCTCCACATATCTGACAAAGAGTCATTTTTGTTAAGACTCACCCAAATGAGATCCTCTGAGATTTCTTGTCTGGGATTTTTTTGTCTTTTATGTGCATATATAGGCCACTTCATGTCTGGTTTTGTCCTACAGACGTACATCTTGCAATATTTCAAAGACGTGATTGACAAGCAGTCGTGGAGCGATGACGGGATGGTGTCAGACCGGAGATTGCGTGAAGACGTTCTTTCTCTCGCTTGTGATTTAGATTATCCACCCTGTTTGGAAAAGGCTGAACGACTCTTTGTTAGTTGGGTGAAATCCAATGGTACAATCAGGTGACTTATATTACACATCACAATTTTGATACCCTTTCATTTTATGTCATATTTTTCTTCAATGTTAGTTTGCACTTTGCTCTTGCGTTACTGTTTTTTACTTGGTGTGCGTACTAATACAGAAAGTAGTGTTTCGCACTCATACAGATATTCTTGTTTTACATTTTTCTTGACTTTTGTCAGAAAACAGACATAAACATTACAGGCCCTATCATACACCTGCGTATGGCTAGATTTGTTGCTATTTTCAGACCAGCACAACTTTTTTTGTGCAACGTTGTTTAAATAGCAAATCCATTTACGCCACTTTGTGAACTCATTGGTGTACTGGTTTAAAGAGTAGGTGTGTTAGGGTGCATTGTTGGCACGTTTCTAGTTTGAAGAACTAAATGATAGGTGTATTATAACGTGGCGTGTATGATAGGCCTCTTAGACTTTGCGCTTAGATTGTTAAAATAGGGCCCTACGACTCAAAGCCTTCCCCAGTATGTAGGGTAATTTACACCCTTCACCCTCTTATAAAATTACTAATTATACTAATGCCATCATTAATTAGCCAATTTTCGATGATTAAAAACATACTTATTTTGCTTCCATTTATATTACAGGACATTTTCCACATTATCACTGGACAAAAATTTACTTTTTTTGTCGTATGGAATAATACATCTACTTATGCAGCACATTATTTCCATAATAAACAAATAAATTATTTAAAATATTATACATCAGCATTAACTGAAACAGACAGCCTGCAATACAATTTTTTTAAAGCGTCACAATTACGCTGTCATACTCACAAATCTCTCTTTTAAATGAATAATTAATATAGGATGGTTTACAGTAATATGCGTGTGCATATACATTAGATAGGTCAGTATCAAAGACAAAACTGGAACTAATCTAAAAAAAATTAAGCTCAGGGTTCAAAAATTAGTACACCCAAATTAACAAATTAGAAAAGAGGAAATAAAGAGGGAAGAAATTAATATAAATTAAAAGTTTTGTTGAAATTTTGAAGTTTGTATATTTTTATTTTTTATTTTGCAAAACTCCATTTGATTTTAAATTCATTATCTTTCTATTCATTAGGATGTTAAACTAGATGTGACCAAACTATTAGTTTAATGAATAAAACATTTATAAAACCTTTGTTCAAATCAACTAAAATGTATTGTCTATATTTAGTAGGAGCATTTATGCTGAGCACTTTATATAGTCATTGTTTTTGACGCTGTAAAAAAGATTTATTTTATACAGTAATAATAGGGAATTCGAAAAGAGAGTGATCTTTAAAAAAGGATGGTGGGAGTTAATTACTCTACACACCAAGGAAGTATTTGAGCTGAAACGCTGTTTCCTGACGAATGAAACGCTGAAACTTCTGTTTCCTGACTAATGTAGAATAAAACATTAAAACAAAATTATACAAATTAGTGCAGATCACTACTTCCCATATTATTCTAACTTGAAATGATTTCTTAACATTTGACCATTGGTTCTCACAGCCTACCCACTGATGTGTCTGAGACAGTTTACATGGTCGGAGCTCAGGATGACAGCGGTTGGGTCTACCTTCTCAGACAGTATGGCGTCTCCATGTGTGAGACAGAGAAGAGCAAATTTCTTTCGGCTTTAACAAGCAGCAAGGATTCCGAAAAACTGTCAAGGTACATTGAATATAATTATACTGCCATTCAGAAGTTTGGGGTTAGAAAGTCAAACTCAAATTTAATTTGCCAAATACACAGTAAGATATGCAGTGAAATGCTTATACAACTGCCCCTGAAAAAACTCAATTAATATCAATAAGAATCTAAATTAGGAATGTAATAAGAAGTAAACATAAAGGATTTTTAGATGTAGAAATAAAAGTTATAGCTTTAGAAAATAGATAAAAAATATTTTAAACTTTAGATATAGAGAATATAGAAGATAAAACTCTCTCTCTCTCTCTCTCTCTCTCTTATATATATATATATATATATATATATATATATATATATATATATATATATATATATATATAAGAAAACTAATCGCAATTAATCACAAATTAAAAATACTGACACTTGTAAATTTGGCTATTCAAATGTAAAATTAATGTAAACGCAAGACAAAAACTATTTAAATTCAAAATATAATTGTTTATTAGAATTTTTGTAACAGAATTTTGAAACTTGTAAAACAGATTTCTTCATGTAAACAACATACCCACAATAAACCATCAAGATCCTGGCTTGACAGCCATATTTATTACAGAAATTAAAACACAGGCATGTTAATGCCATTTGAATTTAAAAATAATCGATACCAATAAAGAAAAAAATTATTTCCAAGTTGGATTCAAAGTGGACTGCAAAAAAATGCCAAAATAAAGGCATTGCAGATATGGAAATTGGAAAATAAAAATAATAATAATTATTATTATTATTATTATTATTATTATAATAAACTATTGAATACAAACAGATGCTCATTGTTAAGTTGTATTGCTGTGAGTTGAGAACAATAATTATAAAGTAGAAACAATTTTGCTCAGTCCTTCTTTACATTCATCCAGTTGCTAAGAGTAGGAGTATCCCGCAAATGCACAGAGACTCCCAGATGCCCGCAAATGAATGATAATCTCCCGGAAATCACGCGTCTCCCGCTCGGTCCTCAAATACGTTGCACACCCATCTCCACCGCATCCCTCCTAGCTCTTCAGGTATGTCGCACGCAACTCACCCCCACCGCTCTTCAGGTAAGTCTCGCACGCACATGACCCTACTCTGATACGTCCCTCACTCAACCCCTGACACCCCTCAACTGGCCTGACACAGACACACACACAGACAGACACACACAACGCACTGAAGCAACTCCCTTAAGATTTAACATGCATGATCACGTTCATCAAATTTGCTTTAACTAAGCTTCTAACGTAATGCTGTACAGGAAGTAAAAAAACCTGCAACTGCGTTAATTGCATACATTTTTTTTACGCATTAAAAAATTTTAAATTAATCACATGCGTTGACGCACAAATTTTGACAGCATACAGTTGAAGACAGAATTATTAGCCCCCCTGAATTATTAGCCCCCATGTTTTTTTCCCCAATTTCTATTAAAACGGAGAGACGATTTTTACAACACATTTGTAGTTTTAATAACTCATTTCTAACAACAACAGATTAATTTTATCTTTGCCATGATGACAGTAAATAATATTTCACTAGATATTTTTCAAGACACTTCTATACAGCTTAAAGAGACATTTAAAGGTTTAACTAGGTTAACTAGGCAGGATAGGGTAAGTAGGCAAATTATTATATAACAATGAGGCGATGCAGTGGCGCCGTCGGTAGTGCTGTCACCTCACAGCAAGAAAGTTGCTGGTTCGAGCCTCGGCAGGGTCAGTTGACGTTTCTGTGTGTAGTTTGCATGTTCTCCCTCCATTCGTGTGGGTTTCCTCCGGTTGCTCCGGTTTCCCCCACAGTCCAAAGACATGCGGTACAGGTGAATTGGGTAGGCTAAATTGGGTTACAATGGGTTGGGTTGCTCTGTAAAGTCAAAATTAACGCGTTAACGCATGCGATTAATTTTAAATAATTAACGCGTTAAAAAAAATTAACGCAGTTGCAGATTTTTTTACTTCCTGTTGGGGTGAACGTGTGTTCAACATGCAATAAATGTGGATAAGACCAAGAAAGCACTTTTTGAAGGAAAGCTTCAGTATAAAACAATTAGTCGCATCATCAGGCTCTCCAGAGTTTCATGCAATTTCGGGTGTTTCATTTTTAACTTTCGACTTCTGTTGTAAGTTGATACCGCATGGCGAACAGAAAGAAAATCCTCCGCATTTCGTGACTCGGTGTTCCTTTAAGGTAAGGTTCCTTTTAAGGCTACACCAGTAGTCACCAAACTTGTTCCTTGAGGGCCGGTGTCCTGCAGATTTTAGCTCCAACCCTAATCAAACACACCTGAACAAGCTAATCAAGGTCTTACTTGGAATACTTGAAACAGCCAGGCAGGTGTGTTGAGGCAAGTTGGAGCTAAATCCTGCAGGGACACCGGCCCTCCAGGACTAGGATTGGTGACCCCTGGGCCACACGGTAGAATTTTTATAGGAGTATAATCTTAATCATATTAAAATCTGAGTATTGGTGTCTTATGTGAATGTACTCAGAACGTCTCTGGTGAAGTCGCGAGCTGTCAAAGACAGGGCATTACTCTGCCTTTCAGCATGAGCCCTCCAAGTTTAGCGTGTTTCCTCATTAAACGCAACGAAAGCGTATGCTTCCCGTTGTTTTGTCAGAATCCTTGTGAAATACAGTAATACTTTAGGACGCTTAGTTTATGCAAATTTGATGAACGTGATCATGCATGTTGAATCTGAGGGGAGTCGCTCCAGTATGGAAGGCCGTTGGGGCCAAAACGTCTGCAGCGCGTTTTGTGTGTGTCTGTGTGTGTGTTTGTGTCAGGGGTGGAGTGAGCGACGTATCTGAGTAGGGGCGAGAGGGGTGTGCAATGTATTTAATGACCGGTTTGCAAGAAATTATCATTCATTTGCGGGCATTTGGGAGTCTCTGTGCACTTGCGGGATACTCCTAGTCTTAGCAACTGGATGAATGTAAGGGAGGATAAAGCAAAATTGTTTCTGCTCTATAACTAATGTTCTCAACTCACAGCAAAAAAAAACTTTACAATGAGTGCAACAGTTTGTATTCAATAGTTTATTATTATAATTTTTCATTTTCCATATCTGCAATGCCTGTATTTTGGTATTTTCTTGCAGTCCACTTAGAATCCAACATGGAAATCAATGTTTTCTTTATTGGCATTGATTGTTTTGAAATTTAAATGGCATTAACACGCCTTTGTTTTAATTTCTGTAATAAATATGGCTGTCAAGCCAGGATCTTGATGGTTTATTGTGGGTATGTTGTTTACATGAAGAAATCTGCGTTACAAGTTAAACAAAAATTCTAATAAACAATTATGTTTTTAATTTAAATATGTTTTGTCTTGCGTTTACTTAATTTTACATTTAAATAGCCAAAATTACAAGTTTCAGTATTTTAAATGCGATTAATCGCGATTAATTGCGATTAATTGTTTTTAAAAGGTGCGATTAATTAGTAAAAAATTTTTATCGATTGACAGCACTATATATATATATATATATATATATATATATATATATATATATATATATATATATATATATAGTTGAAGTCAAAATTATTAGCCCACCTTTGAATTTTTGTTTAATTACCCTAACCTGCCTAGTTAACCTAATTAACCTAGTTAAAATAAATTAGTTATTGGAGATGAGTTATTAAAACTATTATGTTTAGAAATCTGTTGGAAAAATCTTCTCTCCGTTAAACAGAAATTAGAAAAAAAATGAAAACGGGGGCTAATAATTCAAGGGAGCTTTAAATTTCTTTTTCTTTTTAAATATTTTCTAAATGATCTTTAACAGGGCAAGGACATTTTCACAGTATATCTGATCATATTTTTTCGATATTCTACAGAACAAACCATCGTTATACTATAACTTGCCTAATTAGCCTAACCTGCCTAGTTAACCTAACTAACCTAGTTTAGCCTTTAAATGTCACTTTAAGCTGAGAAGGATCTTGAAAAATATCTAGTCAAATATTATTTATTGTCATCATGGCAAAGATAAAATAAATCAGAAGAGTTATTAAAACTTGAAATGTGTTGAAAAAATTGTCTCTCTGTTAAACAGAAATTGGGAAAAAAATAAACAGGGGGCTAAATATTCAGGTGGGCTAGCAACTCAATGCATTAAGGCATGTAGACATGGTCAACTGCAGTTGAATGGGGAAGAAAGGTGATTTAATTGACTTTGAACATGGCATGGTTGTCGGACCAGTCAACATTTATCCATTATTTTGTTGTTATGGTCTGTTTTGTTAAGTCTGTGTGAATTAGTCTATTTTTTTGAGCATGACAATCTAACCTTTGCATAAAAAAAGATAAACAAATGTACTATGTACAGTACAATCATGATACTTCTCTGAATATCTTATTTTGTTATGAACTAATTTCTCAGTTATTATTTTTCTTATGCTTATGCAACAATCTTGAAAAACACAATCTTTTAGCTGAAGAATATAATTAATAACAATTTTTTTTCTTTTTTTGCTTAAATGATTTCTACAAAACTGTTGAATATACTGTATGTACAGTATTTAAGACAAGTATATTACAAGTAACTGTAATTAAATGGCCTAAAAATGAAAAGTAATCTCTTACATTACTTTTTCAGCAAAATAGTTATTTAGTATCAGTAATTAGTTTCTCTGTAACTACTTGCACCCAACAATGTCTGAATGGAGTGTCACCAGTGTGCTCTTCTTCTGCCGCTGTAGCTCATCTGCTTCAAGGTTTAATCAACAACCATGCCATGTTTAAAATCACCTTTCATCCCCATTCTGAAGCTTGGTTTTAATTTGAATTTAATGCCTAGATGAATCAATTTGCCGCCATGTGATTGCCTCATGAGATACTTGCATCAACAAGCAGTAAAGATATAATCTTACAAAAGAAAAATCATTTTAAATATGACAAGCTCTGATAAAAAAATATATATATATCATCGAGCACCAAGTCAGAATGTTATAATTATTTCTGAAAGAGTGTGTCTAATGACGGCTCAAAATTCAGCTTTTGCATCACATAAATTTAAATAAATAGACAATATCAGCTAAGTCCCTGATTTATCAAGGGTCGCCACAGAGGGATGAACCTCCGAAATAGAAAACAGTTCATTGTAATTCAGAGTACTCTTTTACAGTATGTTTTATTAAATACAGCTGAGAATCAGAGTGTAAACAGTCCTATTGTTATGCAAAATGTGGTCAGTTTATGTGATTTTAAATCAAAATGTGTCATGCGATGACTTACGTATATGTCTCTGTTTTTACTGTAGATTATTGCAGCTTGGAATGGAAGGAACAGTAATAAAAACACAGAATTTACCCAGTCTTATATACATGGTGGCCAGAAATCCAGTGGGTCACTTTCTAGCTTGGGATTTTGTGAAGAAGCACTGGAATGAACTAGTAGAAAAGTAAGTAATCTGCTGCTTTTTATTTAGCATAGATGCTGAAATTACATAGGACTATATACTCATGTCTCATTATGAAAGGTTTCCACTGGGATCTTTTGGAATCAGAGAAATAATTGTTGGCACTGTTACTCAGTTTTCATCCACAGAGGAGCTAAGAGAGGTAGGTTTATTTTTTCCCATTTACATGGAAATATCATTATGTTTTGACTGTGCCTTTACAGTGTTTACTTTTTTGTTGTAAGGTTGAGAGTTTCTTCAAGTCAATCCAAGAGCAGGTATCTCAGCTGCGTATCATACAGGTGGCCACAGAAAATGTGGAGAAGAACATTGTGTGGCTCAAAAGAAATCTAGAGACTATGAGGACTTGGTTGCAGCGAAGACTCAACTAAAATATTCAAATAAGACCAACAGAAACTCCACAAGACTTTTCAAATTTTCTATTGTTTTGCATTTTTTAGATTATGTTTTAATTGAACTGGGTAGCGGCTGGTATAATGCATGATGTGTTTGCTTTTTTGGGGGTTAACTTGGATAATGAGTTTCAGCAACAGCAATGCAGTTCCAAAATTTACAGGGTTTTGCATTTGTGTTTTTCTTTGCCTCTAGCTTTGCCACATTCAGAACTAATGTTAAAAGGAGACTGCTTATTAATTACTGCAATATCAAAATCATAATCATTCTTTATGATTATGAAATCATACTTGAAGACTCTGAATATTATTGCACTGAATAATGTTTGGAATAAAATAATAAAAAAAATGTTTTACATAACAGATGGAAATGAAAAAGTGTTATGAAATTTTTACAAATTTGTTGAGGGCTATTTTCATTTTAATTTGCATATAGACATACACTTGACAGATTTTTCACTTAGTCTTTGCTATAGGCTTGTTAGTGTCAAAATTGCTTCCTTAAACTGCAAACAGTAATTTATTAGCTAAAGTAATTTGATTTGAAAATACCTAATAGTTCGAATAGCACTTTATTTTGCAGAGTCCTCACTTTATGCTATGCCATAGTGTTCTTTTTGGTCTTATATGCCCATTCAAGTTATAGGCCCAATACTTGTGCTAGATGGGCACACCACTGCCAAGGACTACAGAACCATTCAGGAGGAGCATGTGCACCCAATGGTTTAAACATTGTCTCCTGAAGGTGGTGCCATGTATCAGGATGATAATGCACCAATACACACAAAAAAACTGGTGACAGAGTGGTTTATTAAACATGAAAGTGTAGCTGTTAATCTCCCTTGCGCCTGCGCAGTCACCAGTAACAAATATTGAGCCCTTTTGAGGTGTTTTTGTATTGTATTGTAATTTAATGCGTATTTATATAGCGCATATATTGTGTATGGCCATACAACCAAAGCGCTTCACAATAATATGGGGGGTCTCTCCACACCACCACCAGTCTGCAGCATCCACTTGGATGATGCGACGGCAGCCACAGGACAACAGTGTCAATGCGCTCACCACACACCAGCTATTGGTGTAGTGGAGAGACAGTGATAGAGCCAATTTAATGGATGAGGATGATTGGGAGGCCCTGATCGCAATGGCCGATTGGCCAGGACTAAACTACTCTTTAGCCATGGGATTTTTAATGATCAAGACCTCTTAACATCTCATCTGAAAGATGACGGCCACTGACATTATAGTGTCCCCTTCACTTTTACTGGGGCATTAGGACTCACACAGACCACAGGTTGAGGACCCCCTGCTGGACTCTCTAACACCACTTCCAACAGCAACCTAGTTTTTCCCATGTGGTCTCCCATCCAGGTACTGACCAGGCTCAGCGCTGCTAAGCTTCAGTGAGTAACTGGTCTTAGGCTGCAGGCAGGGTGATATGGCTGTGGCCATAACTAGAGAGCAAAAACAACTCATGACAGTATCCTATGAACGTGCAGGGTGATATGGCTGTGGCATATCACTTTGAAGTAGCAAGTCAGGAAACATTTTTCTCCACCACCATCATGTAGTGACCTGGCCACTATTCTGCAAGAAGAATGACCTAAATCCCTCTTAATGCCACTTAATGCTTTATTGGCTGCAAAAGGAGGCCCTACACCATACTAATGAATTATTGTGCTCTGAAACCAGGCGTTTCAGTTTCGTTGTCCAACCAAAGTAAGTAGTTCTATATTTAAACAGTAATGTCTGTGGAGTGTCAACATTAGCCAAGTAAGTGTCACTTTACTGCCGCCAGGAGGCAGCGTTGCATTACTCAAGTTAAAACACTAAAGCTGTACTGTTTGACACAAAAGGATACCAATTTACAATAATTTGTATTAAGTTAGTGAACAATGATAAATGTAATAGATTAAAATTAAGTCTAATTTGTGACCAGCAATATATAATTTAACTAAGCGAGTGACGTTTATTTTAAGTAAAATGTTGCACACACACATACCCTTAGATTCATATTTGCATAATTGGATTGGCAACTGAAACCGAGTGGCTATTTGCCATAAGTGTAAATAGCCCGCCTTGTTGGCAGAGCAGAGGCTATTTACACTAACTCCTTCTAAAGGAAGAATATACTGGTAAGTGTCAGTGTATTAGTTCCAGTTTACCTTTGAATGAATGGGATACTTGGGAAATTTTACAACTGAAAATATGAATGTTGCATATTGTGATTTTAAGACTATTAAATTATTGGGCATGTGTCTAAATATTTTTTTTAATACCGAACTGATTTCTGAGTTTGAAAAATATTGTTTAAGTGGAATATGAGTAAACTATTGTTTATCAATTACATGAATATTTTCAGCCTTTTCACTTATTGATTCAGTTTATTAATTCATTTTCTTGTCGGCTTAGTCCCTTTATTAATCTGGGGTTGCCACAGCAAAATGAACCGCCAACTTATCATGCAAGTTTTTTTTTCACGCAGCGTATGCCCTTCCAGCCGCATCCCATCTCAACAAAAAATGTCAGAATCATTTTTTGTTGTGCTGGTTGAAAGTCTCTTCACAGTCCAATACAATAGTAACGATTACATGATCTAAATGTGTTTATATGTATTTTTATATTCTGGGTAAAGCATAAAACTAAATAATGTTCATTAAATTAAATATTGTCGGACCGACATCTCCCTTAATTCCGATAAGCAGCTCAGACTGTCTGTCAGCAAATGTAGATTCAGACTTCTGCGCATCTGTTCACGCAGATCCGCTATTCGCGTGTGCCCTTGTGCAGAAGCACCGCACGGTCACGAGACAGACCGAGAGAAATCAAATGCTGAATTGAAACTTTTAAAAAACTGAATTAAAATTAGAGTTACTTTAGCACGCTGGAGGAAGGACAACACCATGGCTGAAGTATTACTGTTTGACAGGTAATGTTCTGTTTTAAAACTATTTTAGTCAGGCTAAGCTTATGTTAGATTGTGTTCTGTTATGAATGATGAGTCGACTTATATGCACAGACATGTTGTTCAGCCACTGAAATCTCCCGGTGAAAGATTGATGTGATTATTTTCAGTTTTATAGGGTCCTTTTACAGCATTGATAATACCTAACCTGCTTTATTGAGCTGAAGTTGCTTTTATATTCACATTGGGTCATTTTTGAACAATGACAGCCTTCCTATACTTTTTACCATGCTACTCTGAATATTCGCTCTGATATAGCATGTAAGTGTGGCTAAGTAATGAATGTAATTCCTGCATCGCGCTGACTAAACATCGTCGTCCAAAGATAATATGCTAAGCGTTTAGCATTTTGTCAGATCACCTACTGCACCTTTAAGATAATGTCATACCGCCACCAACTGGGGGATTTTAATTTCATATCTGTACTACCTTTTATTTATTCATTCATTCTCTTGTCGGCTTAGTCCTTTTATTAATCCGGGGTCGCCACAGCGGAATGAACCGCCAACTTATCAAGCATGTTTCTACGCAGCGGATGCCCTTTTAGCTGCAACCCATCTCTGGAAAACATTCACACACTCATACACTATGGACAGTTTAGCCTACCCAATTCACCTGTACCACATGTCTTTGGACTGTAGGGGAAAGAGCACCCGGAGGAAACCCACACGAACACAGGGAGAACATGCAAACTCTACACAGAAACACCAACAAAGCTGAGCCGAGGTTCGAACCAGTGACCCAGCGACCTTCTTGCTGTGAGACAACAACAGCACTACCTAGCACCACTGCGTTGTCACCTTTTATTCAATATTAAGTTAATAATTTCATAATTTAATACTGAATAAAATTGTGTACTGATTGTACTTTAATAACTATTGACCTTGGTTTTGGCTAATCTGCACATCCTGGCCTCAAGACTAAAGTGTTTCTCTTTCAGTGTTTCCTTGGGCAGTTTTGGAGGAAAGGAACCATAAAATATAGATATAAGGAAAGGAAAATAATTAATATTGTTTTTTGTCTTTTCCCTTTATAATCATTTTAGATATACAAATCTTGTTTTAATAACTAGATCTTTTTAGCACAGGTGCAATTTCATGATTTTCTATTTGGGCTTTACTACCAGTGTGCAGGTTCAGTCACCGATTCTAAGTTGCTTTCAACATTCCAGAGCATAAAGTCTTTCTACCTAATTCACCCAAAAGTTCAGCAAAGCAGCCTGGATTCCTGTTCTATTGGTGGTATGTATTATATGCTATAGTATGTTCAAGTATAGTGTATGTTGGTTCTGTATTGGGTTTTCAATCAGGCCTGAGACGGTTTGCAGCTCCTTTCTTGCTTCATTTGTTGTCAGATGTGAACACATAACATGTATGCAGTACATAAGTTTTCTTTTTTTAATTATTTATGCAAAATAAATGTACAGCTTGAACCCTTTTTTGAGTAGTTGGCCTTTTTGTGTGTGTGTGATTCTTAATTGTTGTCCTTTTACTATAGTGGTGTACAGTGACTCGTTATCTTTCTAACAGCAATTTCACAAATAAACGCTTGTTTGTTTGTGAATAAAAATCCAGGAGAGCTGGACATCAAGTTCGATTTATGTCACGCTACAAACTACTGAGTCAAGGTATGGTGTTTTTCCAGCCTGATCTCATGAGAAAAAGTAAGTATTTTACGTTTTGCCAGTTTAGTGGCTAATTCGTATGAACTCGTACGAGTTGAGTTGTACGAAATTGTACGATTTTAAAAAGGAGGCGTGGCACCTAACCCCACCCATAAACCCAACCGTCATTGGGGGATGAGCAAATCGTACTAAATTGTACAAATTAGACAAATGAATTCATACGAATTAGCCACTAAATCAAAAAGTTACCAATTGTGTTGTGTTTTCATGCGAATGGTTAGTTGCCAAATATTTGATAAAACCATGCACAATTAAACTTTTACATTTTTTTTTTTTTTTACTTTAGGGCAGCACGGTGGCGCAGTGGGTAGCACAATCATCTTACAGCAAGGTTTCCTCCAGCTGCTCCGGTTTCCCCCACAGTCCAAAGACATTTGCTTTAAGGCAATTGAATAAACTAAAATCAACTAAGTTGAACTACATTGGCCGTAGTGTATGTGATTGTGTGCAAGAGCATGTATGGGTGCTCCCCAGTGTTGGGTTGTGGCTAGAATGGCATCCGCTACATAAAACATGTGCTTGATAAGTTGGTGGTTCATTCCACTTATGGCGACCCCAGATTAATAAAGGGACTAAGCCAAAAAGAGAATAAATAATTGTTTTGCTTTAAAATTAAATCCAAGTTGTGTAGCTGTTTTGGCTAATTTCAGATGAAATTGACAGTTCATCCAACAATGAAAATGTGCTGTTAATTTATTCATCCTTAGGCCACAAGCTGTAGTTTAC